CACAGAGACAGAGAGACAGAGAGACAGAGAGACAGAGAGAGACAGAGACAGAGAGAAACAATGGGAAGTCAATTCTCTCCTTCCACCATGTGGGTCCCCAGGATCAAACTCGGGTCCTCAGGTTTGGCAGCAAGCACCTTTCTCACCAGCCCAAGCTCTGAATTTTTTTTTAAACACCCATTTTGCCACTGTGAACTAGACTACAGCCCCCCACCCCCGAAAGCCAGGGAGCCCAGGGACTCCCTCTGTACACACGTACAAAGGCTGACAGGGGAAGCAGGAAAGAAAGGCCTGGCGCTGAGCTGAGCAAAGCCTGGAGTTCCCAGCCCAAGCTTCCAGGACTAAATGGCCTTGGGTTGCCCCAGGGCCATTCCCCAGGGGCAGACAGGCCTCCTGGGCTCACAGGACAGGGCACACTACTCAGGTTACACAATCAATCCGCTTCTGGCACTAGGTCGGGGACACACAAAAGGACAAGGCAGAGAAGCAGTCTGGAGTCCCCTGCCCTGTACAGGTGGGGAAACCGAGATCAGCAGCGGTGGCGTGGCTTCCAAGGCACATCAGAGTCAGCCTGGCTCACCTCAGAGTGCATGGGTTAACACCACCAATGAATGTCCACAATGACAGGTGTCCCAGGGCTGATGTGGAAGCCAGAGAAAACTTTTTTTTTCTTGAATTCTAAGAATGTGGCCAATCAATTTCTATCATCCCGGCTTCCCTGACTCTCCATGTGGACAATTTAAAAGCATAGTTAACCCAACACAATCAAGATGGGCTCTTGGAGGAGACGAAGGGTCCAGGGGCAGGCATGGGAGGGTGGTCTGTTTTCTTTCCCATTAATATAAAAATTGGTTTACATTTCCTGTGGCTCCAGGCTGAAGAGTGGCTGTGAGGGGGAAGTGAGGAGTTCCCCAGAATCTGACATGGCTCAGCAATGCCAGGCTGGCTGTATCTTTAATTTAGAAACTGCCAGCTTGAAGCCCAGCAGATTCTTTGTTTTTTTCAAACTGTAAGAGAGGAAGATATGGGAAAAAAAGCCAACCCGGCCTTATTCTCACAGGCCTTTCCAGAAGGGTCCTTGGGCCAAATGGTTTTCAATGCTTAGGCACAGCCCCTCCCCCTCTTTTCCTCCCTCCTCCCTGAGTGGGAACCCCCGACCTCACACAGACTGCCCTGCACCGTCAAGCCACTGGGAGCTCCCAGGGTCCCCCTTTCTCCCAGAGATGGAAGGATGCAACTTGGCTCAGGGGGTCTCTGAAACACACACACACACACACACACACACACACACACACAAACACAGCCTTTCCTGAAGCAGGATTAAGACTTCCTCCAGTCCAGAAGAGGAGTAAAAGAGGACCCAGCAGGAGGTACAGAGATTAAAGCCCTCCAGAGTCCCAGGCCGGCCTATCCCACCCCCTCCACTTCTCACTTCCTAGGCGACCAGGGAAGTGACTCCTTCCTCATTCTCGCTGAAGACACAACACAAGAAAGGCAGCTTCGCAGTTTAAAGCACCCGAGGGGCTAACCGGGGTCACCGCGCAGTGTCCAACCCCGCTTGGGCATCTGTGCAGTCACGAGCAAGTGACTCAACCTCTCTGGTCCCAGCCTTAAACACTGGGAAAATGCGTTTACCGGACGTCTCCAGCCTCGTAAAGACGAAGCCTGCTGGAAACCCATGTAAGGTGGCCGGCGCGTTCAGACGCTATTCTGCAGTCTGAAGCTCTGGGTTTTGCAACTTAGAGACAGGGTGAACAGCAAGCGAGCCCCGACTTCCCAATTCTAGGGTCACGGGAATTCTGGGTCCCCGGGTTCAGCCAGAGAGTCGGGTCGGTCCCCGCCCCTGCTCCAGGCTTTCCCCTCCGGCCGGCGGGGATTCCGGGGGTGCAGATCTGTGCACCACCGCCACCAACACCGGCCACCGGCGGGAAGTAGACCCGCGCCGGCCCGGCTGGGGCCTCGCGGACACAACTCATTTTCAAACTACTTGCAAGGCGGGCAGCGCGGGGCGACAGACAAAAGGGCAGCGCGGGCCGGGCGGCCGACGGGGCTGCGGCCACAGGTGGCAGCCGGGACGCTCACCGACTGCAAGAAGCGCAAGGTGCCCACGTAGTCGCGCTTGGTGCCCAGGATCTCGTTGAGCACGCACAGGCGGAGGCGCAGCTGGCGCTCGGACTCGCGGGCGGCCACACACTGCCCCGAGCCGGGAACGCGGGCGTCGGGCTGCGTGCCATCCCCGCCGGGGTCCCCGCTGCTGTCGGGCGCCTCCATCGCCGCGCAGCGCCCGCTCTAATGTTGGGAGAAACGCTTCCTTTTTACAAAAGCTTGTACCTGGTAGGAAGACACTCGCACACCCTGACAACCGCCACCCCGGTTCCTCTGCAAAGTATCTTCCTTCAGACCCCCTCTTCTCTCTCTCACACAGCTTGCCCCGTGGGCCGGGCAAGAAGAGGGTCTGACAAGGTCTGGGCGGAGCCTGTGGAGACCGGAGGCGAGGGGCGGGGCCTAGCGTGGGCTGATGTGGGGTTGGGCGGGAGGAGGAGGCGGAGTCTGCCAGGGACTGGGCGGGGCCTATGGAGAGTGACTGGACCTGGGTCCGAGGCTGGCGCCGGGATTGGGCGGGGCCTGTATGGGGAGGGCGTGGCCTGAGCCTCCGCCCCGCCTCCAGGGAGCATTGGCCAAGAGCGGGCAAGCGCTCCGAGTTGGGGGTGCGGCGCTGGGCGCCCTGGGTTGAGGCTGTTGAGGCTCAGCAGAGTCGAGAGGCCTGGACTGCGCAACCGGGACACGTGGGATCCCCGCCGCGCCGCAGACGCGCAGGGAACGCCTCGAGGGGCGGGGACAGCCGCCTCCTCACGCCACGCGCCACCCGGCTACGCCCCACTACCCGGGCAGCGCGAGCCTCAGGCCTGTGGCGACCTTGGGAGGAGGACGCGGGCGCCTTCTCTTTTCTCTCTTCCTGCTTTTCCTCTTCGTGGGAATTCTGGGCCCAGCTCTGGTCCTGTCCCCTTTCCCAGCGGAGGCAGCCGCTCGCGTTACTGATGCCGGGGTGCAGCCCGCGCCCTCCCGAGCGAGGCCGGGAAACCCGGCTTCTAGCCCAGCAGCTCTGTGCGACCTTGATCCCGAAGATGCTCAGCCTACGTGCCCACTGCCTTACAGGAAGGCGGGCCCGAGTGGGTCTCGGTCCCCGAGGCAGCTGCTCAGGTTCAGCGCCCCCCCCCACCTCCAGTCTTTAGTGTTTGTCTCCATACAATGGAAAGAACAATAGAGCCTCCGACCCGCACCGGGCAGGGTTCATACTCCCTGGGAAGTGATTGTAGCAGTGCCTTGAAAGTCACTGGAGGTGTTTGCTCTTAATTATGTCTGCACTCATCACCTGCCCTCCTGATCTGGCTGTGTCTAAAACGCGGGCCCAGCCCCTACCCCACCCCACGTGCCATAGATCTGCTGTCTGCTGTGGAGTCGCTGAACGGCCCCTCTGGACTGTAATCATCCCTGGCCAAGAACATTACCGGTTATTTCCTTCCCTTCCAGACGCCTCGGATAGTTCTCTAGGACCTTGGGGTAAATACCACCATTTGCCAAGGACAGGGGAAGAGGGATGGCCCACACGCCCCCATGGCCCTATCCCTTTGAGGCCTTGGGGTGAGTGAGGATCCTGTGTCTCTTGTGAATTTCTCTGGAATACGGCTGTTTCTGACCTTACATGGGGGTTCCTCACCTCTCAAAGCTTCAGTGGCCTCTGTCTTGAAATTAATCCTCTTAGCTGATGGGAGCTTCCTGTGTCTGGAGGGCAACAGGCTTGCCAGCTCCAAATCTTAACTGGCTGCGTGACCTTGGTCAAGACACCTCACCTCTCCAGGTCTCAATTGTCACCAATAAGATGGACAGCAGGGTTTCTCAGTCCCTAGTGACGTTGGGGGTCAGGTAACTTTAGGACATAGCTGCTCATGGTTCACCCCACACACACCCCCGAGAGCATTGTGTCGGCAGCTGGGAACAAAAATGTCTCTGCATAGCCAGCTATGTTACCAACGCAGCTAGCTGGCCCACAGTAGGTACTCAACAAATACTGGTCTCATCTCAGCCTATGACCAAAGATAAAGGTTAACTTCAAGTTCACATACAGATTCCACCTTAGCCCAAGAATCAACCCACACTGTCAGAAAGAGTGGACAAACACTTCTGAATTTTTGGCTGGGACCTACCTCAGAGCCCCCACCCATTTAACACATCCTGTTCCTCCCTCAGAGTCCTCAGAGATGTGTCCCCACAGCCCCCACCTCAGGACAGTGACACTAGCACACTTTCTAGTTTATTGTGGGGTTTTGTTGTTGGCTTCAGACAGGGCCCGACTGTGTAGCCCAAGATGGCCCTGAACTCCTGATCCTCCTGCCTCGGCCAGCATAATGCTGGGATATATAGGTGTGTAACACCATGCCCAGCTCTGTGCCTCGTTTTCCTCTGTGAATACCAGTATCTTCATCATGGGGCCGTTGTGAAATAGCTCAGTAAACACAAGGAAAGAGCTTTAAGCATGTAGTAAGCATTCAGTAAGTGTAGGCTTTCATTAATTCCATTCAGACTGAGTGCTGAGTCCATTAGGATTCATTTGGCACAGAAGAAAGTGTGGGCTACCGAGGGCTTTAAAACCTAAGGGCATTGCTTCCTTAGAAGAGCTCCAGGGAAGAGGCTGGAGAGATGGCTCAGCAGTTAAGAGCACTGGCTGCTCTTGCAGAGGGAAGTCAGTGCCCTCTTCTGGCCTCTGTGGGCATTACATACACATGGTACACTTACATGCAGGCAACATTCATACATAATAAAAATACATTTTTAATATCAGAAAAAAGAGGTCCAGGGGAGACTGGTTGCTTAGGGCGACTGAGAACCTGGTAATGTCATCAAGACACCATGGACCCTGCTCTCTCCATGGAGTAGCTTGGCCTCAGAGTCACAAGATGGCTGCTGAAAAAGTGCCTTCCTCACAAAATCCCCTGTAGCAGGAAAGAGGACAAAGGGGACCCTCTCTCTTCTGCGTCTCAAGTTATCAGGATAAAGTTAAAACCCAGCAAGTCACAGCTGGGTCATGTGACCACCCTCCAGTAGTCTCTGATCACAGCCACCAACTTGGGGCAGGGCTGATTCATCTCCTGGGACATACAACCTGAACAGTGTGGGGTTCTATTATCAAGCATCAAGGGACGCGGGTGTAGGGCGCCCCCCAAAGGTGTTTGCAACAAGCACCTACTAAGCAGTGGGCTGTGGGGGAGGTGCTGAGCCTGTGGAAGTGACAGACATGAGGTGCCTGTGGAAATGACAGACATGAGGAGCCTGTAGAAGTGACAGACATGAGGTACTAGGAATGAGAGGGACCACAGGTTTCTGCCCTTTTGTTCAACAGGAGCTAGCGGGAGCCTACGCTGTGTCAGTCAGCCCAAATACCAGAGAGGACGGAACAGATAACTTCAGAGTGAGGGGTGGGGGCACAAATGAACAATAACCAGGGTCCTTTCAGCATTGCCCAGGCTGGCAAAGCCAGGGCTAGGGAAATATACCTAGGGTCTGCAGGCCTCTGCCTCAGACCACGTGACTCTGACAGGGGTGCCCGTGGTTAGTGGATTAGTGGGTTCACCCTCTGAGCAGGGCCTACTGGCCTCCCAGCTCAGCTGATCTCTGATCTCAGCCAGCTAAGGAGACTTACTTCTCCTGCTTCAGTTACAACCCTGACCTCTTGCCCCTCCCCTCCAGGACCTCTATGGAGGCAGGGCCTGCTCAGGAGGCAGGGTCCTACCACAGGCTGCCCTGAAACATCTGCCAATGGAGCAGGGAAGGGGAGGAGGAAAGCACTCTTGGTTCAGGGAGAGGAGAAGAGATGCTCCAACAGGGAAATTCTTTTTCGAGGACAATTTTAGACTCTGTTGCCATGCACCTTGCAGGGGCTGGGAAATACTGCCTGTGGCTGTCATGCAAGTGTCACTTGTGCAGGAGAAGGTGCTGCTGCTCAGAAACTCGCAGGCAGTTTCTTGTTCCCTTACCAGACCCTTCCAGCTTTTGCATACGCTCATCCTGAGCTCTGTCTGAAAGAATATATAATTTAGAGCAAGCAAGGAAGAATCAGGGCCAGCAAGATGGCTCTTGGGTAAAGGTGGTTGCTGCCAAGCCTGACAACTTGAATCTTGAATTCAACCCCCTAGAACCCATGTAAAAGTAGAAGGAGAAAACAAATTCCAACTCTCCTCATGCATTCTCTCTCTCTCTCTCTCTCTCTCTCTCTCTCTCTCTCTCACACACACACACCTACTTTAATAATTTTTTTTTATCTTTTTGATACAGGGTCTCATAGCCCCAGCTGGCCTGGAACTCACTATGTAGACCAGGCTGGCCTTGAACTCACAGAGATCCGCCTGCCTCTGCCTCCCGAGTGCTGGGTTTAAAGGCGTACACCACCACGCCTGGCCAAATAATAATAATTTTTTTAAAAAAATGTTTAAATCACAGAGCTGAGCTTTTTTTCTGTGCCACATGGATCAGGAGGGGAGGGAACCACTGGCCTCTGTCCAGAGCAGGGCCAGTCATTTCCCAAATGCAAGGGCGTACAGGGTAAGTGGGGGATCTTCCCACTCCACTGAGCAGTTTGCTGGGGAGAAGCAGATGGATGGCTGGACAACACGCTCTATGCTGGACATACAGACCCAGCTAGCTCTCTCAAACCAAAGTGTGATGCTCCCCAGAGGGTTTCACTGCTGGAATAGAAGCTGCTCCAAGGGAGCCGCTCTGTCAGACACAGGTCTCTTAGAGTGGTCTCTGATGGACTTCAGACTCTGCCAAGTCCTACTGGTTCCAGAGAAGATTGCAGGCACAGCTTGGAGGACGCATAGGTAATGCCTAGCACCTCCCCTCATACCTGCTTTCTTTCCTGCCTTTGGAGACCCAGCTGTCTGGATTCAAATCCTAGCCCTTCCACTTCCTGTGTGACTTTGTGCAAATAGCGTAACCTCTCTGAGCTTCAAGGTCCCTGGAATTCCCTACCTAACAGAGCTGTTGTGTAGATGAAAATGCTTGATACAACCTAAGTGCTTAGAATGCTGCCTGATCCTCCCTTGATTGTGAGCTATTCCAACTGGGTGAGGCCATTATGCCTGGAGGTATAGGAACCCTCTTGAGACCAGGAGAAAGGATATTGCTGTCTGTGCCATGGTCAGATGCAGAATGACAGGTGGGACAGAATCTCCACCATCCATGTGTCTGAGCTCTTGAATTGACTGACCACAGAA